AGCTTGGATTGCATGCTCCCCGGTTTATAAGACTGAGGAAATAAGAATTAACCACTACCTTCGATTTTCTTGTATTCACTTGAATGCAATCCTCACAGCTACACTCAAAATATCCCTAACTTATATTGTCCTGAGTCTCTCACCTTTCTTCTTGCTTCTCACCTTTTCTCATAATTGTGAGTGGTACTACTGTTAGCTCAGGATCTCAAACCAGAATTAGAGTGAAACTCAATTCCCCCATCTCCCTCATGACCCGTCCTCCTGAATAACATTTCTTTAACATTGCATTTACTTCTTATCCTGCTGCCATATGTTAGCACAGGATTTGCAAAGATTCTTGTAGCAAACATTTTTCTATTTTTTGAGACAGTTTCGGTCTTGCTGCCCAGGCTGGAGTGTAATGGCACCACCTCGGCCTACTGCAACCTCTGCCACCCAGGTTCAATCAATCTCCTGGCTCAGCCTCTTGAGTAGCTGGGATTACAGGCATGTGCCACCATGCCAGGCCAATTTTGTATTTTTAGTAGAGATGGAGTTTCTCCATGTTGGTCAGGCTGGTCTTGAACTCCCGACCTCAGGTGATCCACCGGCCTTGACCTCCCCAAGTGCTGGGATTGCAGGTGTGAGCCACTGCACCTGGTCTGTAGCAAACATTTAAAATTGATCTTTGTGTATTTAGTCTTGCTCTACTTTAGGACATCCTAAACACTGCAGCAAAAGTTATTCTAAAATGCAAATCTCATTTTGCCAGGGATGCTGCTAAATATATGCAGTGCACAGCACAGCCCCCAATGACCAAGAATTATCCAGTCCAAAATGTCAGTAAAGCTGAGGGTAAGAAATTCCAGTTCCAGAATATCACATTTTTTAGTAAGTCTTCTCTTAGGTTTAAGTGATCTTTTCTTACCCCAACATACCAACCATTGTAGTGCATTTTATTGGTCTGTTTGTCTCACCCCTGAGTGAGGGCAGAGTTCATATCTTATTGATTGTTGACTCCTCATTACTTAGCACAGAACCTGGCACAATGAAGGTAATTATTAGCATTTTTTGAATTACATTGCAACTAAGCATGTGTATCATCAATTCTGAGAAGCCCCCCTCTGGGCTTACTCCAATCCCTTGACAGATCTCAACTCTTCTTATTATACCACTTGAGAAGAAGAGGCTCACGTACAATTATTAGGAATCAGAGGTTTTGGAGTGAGGGGAAAACAAATTTAAAACTTTTTATTTTTTTTTTTCTTTTTGAGATGGAGTTTCACTCTGTCACCCAGGCTGAAGTGCAGCAGCACCATCTTGGCTCACTGCAGCCTCCGCCTCCTGGGATGAAGCAGTTCTCCTGCCTCAGCTTCCTGAGTAGCTGGGACTACAGGCATGTGCTGCCATGCCCGGCTAACTGTTGTATTTTTAGTGGAGATGGGGTTTTACCATGTTGGCCAGGATGGTCTTGATCTGACCTTGTGATCTACACGCCTCAGCCTCCCAAAGTGCTGGAATTACAGGTGTGAGCCACCACACCCAGCCTAAAACTCTTTCTTTTATGTGGGCTATTTTTTGAATGGATCCTTTCTCTGAATCCCCAAATAGCTGATATCACCAGAAGGCCTTGGGAGAGGTAGAGCATCTGACTGGGCAGGGATTCTCTATTTCTTTACTAGGGACAAGGTGGAATCAATGGGAACAATGGCATGGGATGGGCTATTAGCCTGGCTGTTCTCTGGTCTCTAAGAAAACACTCTTCTTTGGATTGGTCATTGCTCTGTTGGAGTGGAAGACCTTGATGGCCAAAGGTAGGTTATAGGCCAGGAGAAAGGAACATAGGCTAAGAGAAAGGGGGTCAATTTCTAGTACAGGCCTTGAAAATATGGGCAGGGGAGTCCTTATAGCACATACACTGCTCAGGCCTCACCAAGTATATCAGTTTCCTAGAACCATTGTGAAAACATACCACAGGCTGGGTGGTTTAAAACAACGGGAACTTATCCTTTCACTGTTCTGGAGGCCATAAGTCTGAACTCAGGACATCAGGAAGACGGGCTCCTTCCAGAGTCTGAGGGAGGATCTGTTCTCTGCCTCTCTCCCTGCTTCTGCAGGTTGCTGGCAATGGTTGGTGTTAATAGCTTATAGCTTCATTACTCCAACATCTGCCTCTGTTGTCACATGGCCTTCTTCCTTGTGAGTCTGTGTCTGTCTTCTTACGAAAACATTGTGACTGAATTTGGCTCTACTATTCTACTTATTTCCTGCCCCAGTATGACATCATCATAACTAGCTATATCTGCAGACTTTATTTCCAAATAAGGTCATGAACGAGGCCCTGGGTGGACGTGAGTTTTGGGGAGACTAATCCACATAGGCCTGAGAGTCTCCTAAGGAGTTTCTAGTCAAAGCCCTGGAGATGAAGTGTATATTTTTTGCAGAGTCTCTGCTCTGCAAATGTCTCACAAATTTACCATGGCGAGAAGTGGCGGATCCAGAATTTAGAAATGCTTTTTTTCTGGCTATCCTCATTGTAACAAATACATGTAACCTTGGTTGTGGCTTTTTAAATTTTGTAGGTATAGCCTAATTTATTTAACATATGTGGCATCCTATTTAATTTTTTTCAACTGACCAAAGTAAATGTTTACATGGCAGGATACCATCTTACCAGAAGATTGAAGTTAGCTTGTTGATAACTCGTTATATATCAGTGGTGATAACATATTGAGTCGAAAGAATCACCCAGATAATATGAGGAGGCCCAGTGTTTTATTCTTAAAACTCAAAACTCACATTTCTCCTCTATAACATTTAGAGATTCCATCAACCCCATGTACGTTCTTTTTCTCTCCACCGTAATCAAAAACACATCAAACACTTAAACAGGTTATTTTTTTTTTAATTGTGATTTGAAAAGCTCAGAATTGCTAGTTTTGTGATAGCATTTCTTAAACGATGATGGACTAGGAGGGTGCTGCAACCAGAGTTTTAGCAGGAGGCATTACATTACAGTAAGCTGCATCATGGGCATAATTTGCAGTGATTTGAAACCATGGAAACAAATCAAAGCTACGGCCCATGTTTGCATTGAGCTGAGATTGCAGGCGCATGACCTGTTCACACTGCCAAAAATGGTGAGTATTTCACCAGCCAAAAATAGACTCAGGTACGTTTGTCCTGTCTCAATGCATTTGTGGGCACTTAATAATGTTGACAGTTATGCAATCATCTTTCTGGTCTCCTGACATGGTAGAAAAAGTGACTTCCATTGTTTTTAATGCTAATTCAAGCTGGGGATGAGAACAGGTTGAGAAGAAGTAAGATTTCAAAGCTAAACAGTAAAATGACCATTAGCACTGCATCTGTAAAATGGCATAGGAAAGCACTCATGCCTTTATTGGCATATGGATGGCTTATACAGTTTAGACTGCTAAAAAGAGAGATGGAAAACAGCCGTCTTTGACACATTAGCCAAGAAAATAAAAATATTGAATCCGATTAGATGCAGTACTACTTGAGTAGAAATGAGAAAAATAATTGAATACGCTGGGCATTTAAAAAACTACCATGGGCTGGGCGCGGTGGCTCAAGCCTGTAATCCCAGCACTTTGGGAGGCCGAGGCAGGCGGATCACTAGGTCAAGAGATCGAGACCATCCTGGTCAACATGGTGAAACCCCGTCTCTACTAAACATACAAAAAAATTAGCTGGGCATGGTGGCGCGCGCCTGTAGTCCAGCTACTCGGGAGGCTGAGGCAGGAGAATTGCTTGAACCCAGGAGACGGAGGCTGCAGTGAGCCGAGATCACACCATTGCACTCCAGCCTGGGTAACAAGAGCGAAACTCCGTCTCAAAAAAAACCAAAAACCAAAAACCAAAAAACAAAAAAACTTTACCACTAAGGAGCATGAGCTGTTTTATTTCTGTTGAGAATTAGTCTTGAAAACATAAAACTTTTGGGCGTAATAATTTTGGGAAATTTCTTCTGTTTGATATTATATATGAAAAAAATCAATACAAATGAAATATAGCCAAACATAGTTTTGAATATATTGAAAATTAAATATTTATTTTTAAATATAAAGGACATAAATGGTTTTGTTTGTTTGAGACAAAGTCTTGCTCTGGCACCCAGGCTGGAGTGTGGTGGTGCAATCTCGGCTCACTGCAACCTCCACCTCCAAGGTTCAAGCAAGTCTCCTGCCTCAGCCTCCTGACAGGTGTGTGCCACCAAGCCCGGCTAATTTTTTTGGTGTTTTTAGTAGAGATAGGTTTTTACCATGTTGGTCAGGCTGGTCTCAAACTCCTGACCTTGTGATACACCTTCCTCGGCCTCCCAAAGTGCTGGGATTACAGGTGTGAGCCACTGCACCCGGCCAGAAATGTTTTAGAGTAGTGATTAAACTTCAGATTTCTGCAGATACCTCTACATTTGTATATTAGAAATTAGATAGCATCAAATGATTCTCCTCCATTCTTCTACTAATAGCCATAGATTGACACCCCAAGGGTCACATATGGCTTTCAAGTATGTTTCTTTTGACATTTACAGTTTCTTTAAAATTGTTTTCAATGTGAATGTCTTTCTTTCTTGACCTTCTAATGTGTTCAGCTGCATTTTCCATGTCACTCTGGGGTCCATCTGGTGCCATTTTTTTTCCATCTCAGGTAACTGTTTTCTTCAGTCTTCCAAACCGCTGCTACTCTTCTTTCTAGATTCCTGAAAATCTGCTTTCTCCATTAAATTTGTCATAATAATTTATAACTTGCTTTTCTGTTTTCCAACATGCCTATTTAATACCACAACAGCAGGATAATATAGTACGAAGGAACAGGATGCTGACAAAATTCATATTGGTTTAATTTCTAGGTACTCCCCATTGCTCTAGAATTGATAGGCTGGCTGGGCACAGGACTGGTATTAACAAAGGTCGTCACCTTTATTATTAATTGCTGCCGTAGACAGAAGACCGGTGACAAAGACAGAGCAGTGAGAAAAGCAGAGCCTCAGGACTCCATGAACCTCTCCTCACTACTTTTGCCCAAGCACCCATCCCTCTACCATACCACCGACGTTTAAGGAAATGGTGGCTCCATCCCCAACCCAGGCAAATGTATTCTGATGATTTTGAGCCATTTATAGTAGTTCCGTGGTATCCTTTTCAGGCCAAAGAGATATGAGGAGGAGTTGGATGAAGGTCCTGGAAAAATTTCTCCACTTTTAAGTAGGTAACACCGAAAAATCAGACCTTTTCAACTCCTCCTTTCATTCTGCCTGGATGTGATGGCTAGAAATGCTACCAGCTGAGGAAGAAGCCAAAACGTGAAGGACAGAATCAAAATGCGGGGAAGCTGAGCTGGAACCCTGGCAAACCAGGCTGGAGTTGCCCTACCTCGGTTTTAGGCACTTTGAGTCAGGGCTTTCGGGTACTTACAGTCAAAGGCATCTAAATTCACCATAGCATTGTGTAAGAGGCAAAATACCCTGACTTACTCAACCCTCCAGAAATCCCTTTGTTACTTTGTTGTCCTTTGGTGGAAAACATTTCCCAGAATTCTTTTCTGGGAAAATAAAAAATCCCTGCTGAGAACTTAGCCCAGTGCTACACTGAGAAATGTACTAAATAGTTACCAATGATTGCTATGATCTGCTTTTTTTCTTTTAATCACTATTTCCATTTGATTATTATAACTTGTGACTGCAAAATAATTTAAAGTTTGCAAATTGCTTTGTGTCATTTCATTTAATTCCAATAGCTGTCCTATGATATAGAGGAAAAGATGTGTGAAAAAATGGAGCACAGAAAGATTACAATATTTGACCAAGACCAGGAATCTCGAAAATGTCTAGGAATCTCGAAAATGTCTTAAATCTAAGTCCTCAAAGCTAGTGCTGTTTCCATCAAATCACAGCTAGAGGTGAGAGCAAACCTATGGGTTATGATGAAGGAAACATTTGCAAAAGAGAAGCAGGAAGGCAGCTCCAGCCCACTTGCAAGGAAACCGGGATCTGCTCCGGGCTATGTCATCTGCTAGCTGTGAAAACCTAGGTGAGTCATTTTTATTTCTCTGAGCCACAATTTCAAGGAACTACGCTAGACAATCTATTAGGTGCTTCCCTATTCTCTAACATCCTGTGGCTCTGTAACTGAGAATTGCTGATGCGAATAAGGCACAAATCATGCTTTATATAAACTATGAGGCTTCCCCGGTGACTACCAGAGAAATCCACGGCGTATGTTCTGCTGGGCTTCTGTTTTAGCTTCCACATTCATGCCACATGAACACCTGTGAAAACGTCAGCAGTTAACAGAAGGGTTGAACATCAACTTAAACTAGCTTTATAACCCAAGTCATGGGCTTTTCGTTTGCAGAATAATTTTACTCTAGAGCCGCAAAAATCATTTGTCAGTGAGCTAATTTTGTCACTGTGATTCTTAGAACACATTTAAACGGCCATAAAAAGGCAGTCCTACAGAGTCTTCAAGATGCTGATGTATTATACACTTGATGGCAAGTTTCCACATAATTGTCTATGACTGACTTCCCATCACTACTTTCATGAAGCATGTGATATTTGCTATCTCAATAGGTTTAGGTTTGCAAATTTAGCACTAGAGAGGCTATTTTCTCCAAAGCAATTTGTCGGCAGTTTGAGAAAATTGCTGTTAGGGAAACCATGTACGTTGGCTGCAGTTTCACAGTCCAAAAGCTCATCTTCACACAGACAAACTACTAAGTCAAAGAAAACGTAGCACAGGGGACTTCAATCTCTGAAGTAGAAACTCGTCTATGTTAGAAAGCACGAAATGATACTATTAGAGAAATTGCAAAGCAGTGCTTTATGAAGACATTTAAGCACTGGCTGACTAAAAATATCAGGGATTATGGCTACATAAGGAAAATAACTAAAGGGTTTGGGGAAAAGATTAGAGAAAGTCTAGCTGAGTATGAAATATAGTGGTTTCTGCCTTTATTCTTACATAAAAGATGCTGGAAATTGAGTCCTCAGGATGATTCAAGTGCAAAGATGGTGATATAAAACTTTGTGTTAAGTCTTTTTCTAAGTGACCTAACTTACACTAGTCAAGTAAAATAGAATCTATTGGCTCATACGGGATGTCCAAAGAGTGGGCTGAACTCCTGACTCACAGGCACGCAAATGATTTCACCTTTCAGCTTCGCTTCTCACTGGATATTGGCTTCCTTCTGTGGGTAGGTTCTTGACACACTCTGGAAAAGGTGGCTACAGGATGCTCATGGCTATATCCTTTTCCTCCCCAGGAAAGTATATGTAAATTCTAGGAAACCATCTCATTAGCCCTGTTTAGTTTATAAAAATACCCTGGGTCCATCACTGTGCCAAGGAGATGGGATTCCCTTACTGGCCAGCTTGGGTCACTGCTGATGCCTGGGGTTAGGGTAGCATTATGACAGACATTCCATTGGGAACTCATGTTGTAGGGGTAGGGAGTTTACCCAACGTAAGGGATTGGGGACAGATAAAATCATAGTCTACTTGAAGGTTCTCTTGAAATTTCTTATAAAGTTTTCATATTTAACACTAAACCTAAAGCTAAAGAACTAAAAAAGAAAGTGAGTCATGGACAAGCTTTTTCAAATTATCCCAAAATGCTTTGCCTTAGAATTAAAATAAATAAAATAATTAGAACAGAATAAAACTCAAAGTAGGTAGTGTGCTCATCTAATTCCTATTTTTCCTATAAGCTTGTTATTAAAAGAAGTATGCACCAAGAAATACAAATTGCTAAATGTAAAATGACTGATAATTTAGAAGAAAGTTTAAAGAATTATGAATTAGTGCTTTCATAATGGCACAATCCATCCTCAATTATTAATTTGTTACCACACTTGAATAAATCTAATGTAACCCAGAAGATACTGGAAATGACGTTTTCATTAACCTTAATGGAATTCATCATTAGAGTGGGTTCCGTGGAACAGACTCTGAGATGAACGACATGCAGATTTATGAGAAAGAGAGGAGAGCAGGATGAAGCAGAGGCAAAGCTGATCTGCCAGGCAATTGCGACTGAAATCTCAGCCCATCCACAGGCGCTGGAGCTGCTGTGGCCCTTTAACATTCCTACATTGAGGCAAGGGGGCCGGGCCCTTGCTCTTCCATGCTGACCAGCCATTGAATGCAGGCTGACCCAGGGTGGAGAGAGACATAACTGTGGGCCAGGAAGTTCCTCAGCTGAGTGCAATTCCCGGGCAGGGACTCAGCTGTGGGCTTTAAGCAGACAACACTGCTGGGAGCTGGGGGAGTGAGTGCCTCAGAGCTGCACAAGAACCTAAGTAGCACACCACAGCATCCACTACAGGGCCTGCTGCTCGAAAGACATACCATTGCACTGTGGAAATGTCAGGTCTAGTTTCATTTTGGTCTCTTTTGGCCAGAGAAAATTTAAGTGTTTCCCATTGTCACAACAGGCAAGAGAACAAAGGGGTCAGAGCAAAGAATGCTAATACTGCTTAGAGGAGGCCGTTATGAGAGAACAGAGATAAGGAACAAGGTAATTCCAGTGAGAGGAACACAAAGCATTACATAGTCACAGGGTTAACAAGCAAAGATTCATCTGCATAGAACCTTGAAGCAAGAGTTTTCTTTTTTGAGACAGGGTCTTGCTCTGTTGCCCTGGCTGGAGGGCAGCGGTGCGATCATGGCTCACCGCAGCCTCCATTTCTTGGGCTCAGCTGATTCTCCCACCTCAGCCTCCCAAGTAGCTGGACTACTACATGGTGGCACATGCCACCATGCCTGGCTAGTTTTTGCAGATAGAATTCTTTTGTATTTCTTGGGCTTTGCCCCCGTTGCCCATGTAAGTCTTAAACCTCTGGACTCAAGCAAGCAGCCCACCTCAGCCTTCCAAAATGTTGACAACACAGGCATGAGCCATGACACTCAGCTGTGAAACTGGATTTAAGCATCTCAGCCCAGACATTATCGTAACAGAAACAGAACAGCTGAGGCAAAAAAGAGACGATTTTCTTAGCCCAAAGTCAGTGCCCCTTATCCAAACTACTTAATTGTGATCACCAGTACCTTGGTGAGTAAGACCTGGAATGGACATTACACTACAGTTTATTCAATACATCTGTTACAACTCAGATGTCAATTTTTGCTTCTCTTTGTTTTTATGCTGGCATTTTAGGCTGAAATAGGAGGGTATTAATCCTGTCTCAAGTTGTCCATCCAGCAGTTGTTCTCTAAATCAAGTTCTTTTCGTCATCAGTAGCTCCACTAACGGGCAAAATTCTTTCTCCTTGCCAGTCCTAAACCCTTAAGAGGTAGCATCTCTGTTCTCGTGAGTACCCAAAATGGGAAAATGTGGGGCAATTCTGATTTGTCTTTACTGCTCTGTTCCTTTGTTTATCATATTAATTGCACAGAATACTGTACAGATAGATTAGATTTTACTGATTGGTTGGAGGTGGCCGATGAAAATTATAATCTAGGGTGAGAAAAAAAAGATATTTCTTTCTTTTTCATTTGAGACAGGGTCTCTGTTGCCCAGGCTGGAGTGCAGTGGCAGTATCTCGGCTCACAGCAGCCTCAAACTCCCAGGCTCAAGAGATCCTCCTGCCTCAGCTTCCCAAGTAGCTGGAACTATAAGTGCACCACACCTGGCTAATTTTTTTATTTTTTTGTAGAGACAAAGTTTCACCATGTTGCCCAGGCTGCTCTCGAACTCCTGAGATCAAGTGATCCGCCCACCTCAGCCAGCCGAAGTGCCAAGATTACAGGCATGAGCCACTGGGACTGGCTGAAAGAGCTATTTCTGTGTGATTTTTCTGCATAATTTAAAATAAAAACATGTAAGACACTGACTGTCATAGGCAGTTATAGTTCTCATCAGTCCTTTTTCCTTTAAGTTTGGATCTCTTTGTAAGAGTATTACCTTCTAAATCTGCCCGTAGCTCCCCATGTACTTTTAAGGTAATTCTATTTTTAGTCATGAAAGTTGACCTTCCATCAGGATTCACTCTTCTCTTCTCAGCAGTACCTTTAGCCAAATCTGAATTAATCTGTTCAGAATGAACAGCAGAATAGTCTTTGGATTTGATTCAAATCCCTGAAGCACTTTGGGAATGAGAATGGCGGTACCAGCCAGAGAGACCCTGGCGACTTATGATGCCACAGAACACCTCAGACGCTTGAGACTGGTCCCAGGGAAGGCTTCCCCACCAGCGTGTCACACACTTCTCTTTATTCTTTCACTTGTGTGACAGATAACAGTTAAATCCAATATCTACCCCCAAGTCCCCTGCTAAGGACAGACTAAACCTGTATGAAAGAAAAAATGTTTTCTTTCTAGTTCTGTAATTTGCAAAGTCAAATTCTTCTCTTGAGGTGTAACTGATATAATACACAGAGTGTTTCATGTGATACTGTCTGCCTCTTCCCAGTTTTGAATTGTGCAGACTTGGGTCCATTAGAAATAAGAAACTGATCATTTACTGAGTTAAGCATTTCCATTTAATCAGCATTCCATTTTACATATTTTTCGTTTTAGAGTTGGTTCAGTTGTATTCAACAAATTCTTTTATGCCCTCATTTAGTCCTCCACATATTGATATACGTAGATCCCTAAACCAAATGGACCTCATTTCCTTTAAGATTCTGATATCCAAAGTCAGAAGCACCAGGTAACTCCTGTTATGGGATCTTGTCTGGGCATGCTATACTTAATGCCAAATCACCTGAAATATTCCTTGGTTCTTATGAAAACAAGCATCTTAGGTAATTTAGGGTGCTTATTTGAAAAAAGGCTTGGGGCTTTATTTAATCATTTTCTTTATATATTTTTAAATTTGAGCATAATAAAATATTAAAAGAGTGCTTTCCTCCTTTGTTATTTCTGAAGTATTGAATTTATTTGTAGTCAAGTTGAGGGAGAGCAGAGATATTGAGCAGTCAGCTTAAGAAACAAAGCTGTAGAGGAAAGTAGATCAGGTCTTAGAAAACCTTGTCTCTCGTGCTAAAAAGTTTAGACATAAAGTCAATTGCTAAAGGCAGTGGGAATCCACTGTAGACTTTTAGATTTTTTAGTTTTTCCACTGAAGGATTTTTTACAGTAGAGCGAAATGACTCTGTTTTTGTTTTAGGAAGATCAGGTTAGTGACAGTGTGGAAAATAAATTTAAGAAGCATTCATCTGTTTGTTCGTCCAACAATATTAAAATTATGAACGTTCTCTTCCCTCAGGGAGCTTACGTTTTTTGAGGGAGATAAATGACAACCATTTATATAATAAGTAATTTATTTATACTTGGGAGGAGTGCTATGAATGAGTATAGCACTGAATAAGAATGGATTATGAGGAAGCCAGGTGTGGCGGCTCATCTCTATAATTTCAACATTTTGAGAGGCCTACGGCGGCTGATCACTGGAAGCCAGGAACTGGAGACCAGCCTGGCCAACATGGCGAAACCCCATCTCTACTAAAACAAAAATTAGCCAGGTGTGGTGGCAGGCGCCTGTAATCCCAGCTACTTCGGAGGCTGAGGCGGGAGAATCGCTTGAACCTGGGAGGCAGAGATTGCAGTGAGCCGAGATCAGCCACAGCACTCCAGCCTGGGTGACGACAGAGCGAGACTCTGTCAGAAAAAGAAAAAGAAAAAAAAAAAAGAATATATACTAGTTCTGCGGAGGTTCAGGGAAGCCTTCTAGAGAATAAGACTTGAGGTGCAGAGACGAATTATGTCTGTTGCCTCACTAGAGTAGTGAAACTGAATAGTTGGGGATATATCACATAGAATAAATAGATCCCCCAAAAGTTGATGATTGTGTGTGGGGAAGCTAGAACTCTAGGAAGATACAAAAGTATTTGGCTTAGACAAGTGAGTGGGTGATGGTTGGGAGGTGAGGGAAGATGCCGATTTCGGAGTATTCATAGGCCGTGCTTGTTCATACCCCCAGAAAGTAACTGGGTATAGACATTTAGAATAAAAGAAAAACCTTTGGACTAGAGATACCATTTTCAGGTCACTAAGACCGAGGGGATAACTATAGGGTAAGGGATTAGAACAGACAATTTGTAAACAATTTTTAGAATGAGACGAGAGAAAACAGCACGGAATCTTAAAACTAGTAAAATTTAAGGGATAGACAGAGGAAAGGGAATTCATGGAAAATCCTGAGAAGAAACTAATAGCCAGAAAAAAACTTAAATATCATCATTCCCAGGAGGCAGGGGAAGAACAAGGGCTTGGTCACTGATGTCAAATGCTACAAAGAGATCAAGCAGATATGGAAAAGTATGCACTAACTTCAATGACAAAGGCATCAGGTGATCAGGAGAGTTCTAAACAATCACTGAAAAATAAGGAGGCGGAGAAACAAATGCAGACAGTTCATTGAGATTCTTGACTCTAGAGAGATAAGAGACCACCGTGAAAGGGTTGAGTACAGTTTAAGCACTGTTTGTATTTTTTTAAAGATTTCTTTTTAATTTTTAGCTGATAAAGATCTGAGCATGTGATGAATATGGGAAAAAGCCAATCAGGGAAAGACCAGTCAGAGGTACAGGAGAGTGGGAGTGTCCTGACAGGAGTGAAGTCCCTCAGCGATGAGTGCGGTGGGGCCCTGACGGCTGCTGATACGATTTCCTCTTGATGGTGTAATAAAGTGATGACAACAGAATAAATGCAATACAGATTCACAGATGAGTATGAAAGGGGTGTCATAGGAAAAAGAGGGAGTTCAGCAAAATTCTAGAAGATGGAAAGTGAATGCCATTTTCACAGACCTAGCAGGGAGGCCGCAGCCAAGAGGGTCTCAGAAAACATATAAGAAGCAAAATGATTTTCTTGCAGAATGCAGAGAGGGTCAGAAGATATTTTTAGATGTTAGGTTCAGCAGAGAAAAGCCCAAAACAAGGAGATGGAAGTCTATACATGGAATTGCCAATCACTACAACGTACATAATTCTGGCATAATTTCCTCTAATTCCCAGTTAGAAGATCAGAAGTTTCTTCTCTAAGTAAATCACACAGTGTCCCCCCCAACAAATGACCTCTAAATGGTATCATTTAAGAATCCTCGTATAATAACTTGTTTACTGAGTTATCTCCCTAAAGCAAATCATCCAGTTGAAACCATTCATGTTAGCAGAACCTTAGCTATGAACAAAGACTAAGGGATTGCTAGACATTTGAGATAACATGAACACAAGTGGAAAACAAATCAACAAAGGTCCTCGAGGAAAGACATATAGTGCAAGGAACAAAAGAGAGGCAACATGTAGCAAATTGGATGGAGCTGGAGGTCATTACTGTAAATGAAATAGCTCTGGAATGGAAAACCAAATATGATACGTTCTCACTTAAAAGTGGGAGTACGCTATGAGGAAGTCAAGTCGTAAGAATGATGTAATGGTCTTTGGGAACTTGAAGGGGAGATTGGGAGGGAGGTGAGGAATAAGAGACTACCTACTGTGTACAGTAGTATTATGAAATCCTAGAAATATACAGAACATCCTCATATAACTAAAAATAAAGTAGTGCACCCATCACCCGAGTAGTATGTGTGATGGGTGCACTGAAATCCTAGAAATATAAAGAACTTACTCATATAACTAAAAATCACCAGTACCAAAAAAACCTAGTGATAAAAAATGACAAAGGACTTGTATAGTAATTTCACCAAAGATACACAAATGACAAATAAGCTCAGATTTCCAAATGGCAAGTTGAAGATGCTCAACATCCCTGATCATTAGAAAAATGCAAATAAAAACTGCAGTGAGATATTGTGACGGCTATTATTAAAAAACCAAAAACTAACACGCATTGGTGAGATGTGGTAAAATTAAAAGTGCTGTGCACTGTTGTAGGGAATGTAAAATGGTGACGTCACTGTAGAAAATAGTAAAGTTGGTCTTCATAAATGAAAAATAGAATTAATATTATGGTTCAGCAATTCCACTTCTGGGTATATATCCAAAATAATTGAAAGCATGGTATTGAAGAGATGTTTTTGCACCCAATCATAGCAGCATTGTTCATCAGCCAAAAGATGGAAGTAATCTATGTGTGCATCAATGGATGAATAATTTTTAAAAAAGTGTATGAAACACACAGATATCATAATAGAATATTATTTAGTTTTAGAAAAGGAGGGAGATTCTGACACAAGTTACGACATGGAGAAACCCTGAGGATATCATGCTAAATGAAATAAGCCAGACACAGAATGACAAATTCTGTATGATTTTACTTATATGAAGTACTTGGAATAGTGAAACTCATGGAAAAAGAACTAGAAAGCTGATTGCCAAGGACTGAAGGGAGGGGGGAATGGGGAATGATTGTTTAATCGGCACAGAGTAAAGTTTTAAAAAATAAAGAGTTCTGAAAAATGGGAGAAAAAAGAAACACCAAATAAATTCTAATTAGTATTTTCACAGGAATTAAGGATGCCATGAGAAAGGAAATTCAGAGAACAAAAAAGAAGATCCTGTAAATAGAAAATATTCATTAAAAATTTTTAAAATTCCATAAAGTAAATGAAAGATAATATTGAGAAGAATTTCCCAGAAACTAGCACAAAATTGCTAAATGGAGGGTAAGGATTTCATGGAAATCCCTAAAAAAAGATTTTAAATACATATTATATAAAAATGTAAAGTCGTTGATATATGCAAAAGAGGAGAAATAGCTGACGGAGACACCCAAGACTGTTAGGCAGTATGTGGTTCTGGAAAAGGTGGTGATAAAGGCAACAGCAGAGACAGCTGTGGTTACACACCTGTGTGCATTTCAACACGCAGGGTACCCTCTCGGAGATTTCTCAGCAGTAAATTCAAGACAATCAGACACTCATTGAAAAGGCTAAATTAGTTCACATAAGAAGCAGCACCTGGCTCATAGTAAATGCTCTCTGAGTGTTGGCAATTAATATGACCTGAATCTCCTTTTCTTTGGAAAACCAAGGTCTTAGAATTAAAAAAAAAAAAAAAGCAAAACACACATAGGGATTCTCTGTTCATAAATTCCCACTTGTAGGTAAGCCCATATTTAGCTTTCAGACCGTTGCTTCTGCTGTGAGTTAAAACACCGGTTTCGCTGCTCCTTTCAATTCTGGTTCTCTCTGCAGTGTGTCTTCTCCTAAGGCTCCGGGAATGCTGTGGAAGGACAAGGATTAAGACCTTGGTGTCTAACTCTA